TATATATATAGCGCCAGGAAACAAGGACAGGCTGTGCAATCACACCCAGAATTGAGGGCTGTATACGATATGAACGTGGGCAAAACCGGCCACTGATTAACGGCAGCCCATCGGGATCAGGACTCATCTTCTGGAGCTGAGGATCAAACAATGTAAGGCTCGCTCCAACAGCCTTCATTACACCATCGACATCGAAGACAAAACCCTAAACCCTAAAACAGTATGGAACCGTCGAACACTTCAATGCGAGCACCTGGAGGCGATCCAGATCTTCCGATGTCCTCTGCACGTATTACGAGTTTAGGATTGAGGTCTGTGGATGTACGGTTGCAGATTTAAGGATAGGCTTCTGGTTACGGGTGTAGGGTTCAAACAGATTATAGTTAATTGTTTCAGCCGTCGCTTTCGGATTTAGTTGAAGGGTAGAGAGTTCTGACCTAGGGCGCAGAATAGCCCGTAGATCGACAAGCTTGCTACAGGCCTCTCTGACTTCACACGTGCGCTCGGTGCTTGCATCTTGGATCCTTTGGAGTGTGTCCGTACTCTTGGACCCGAGCTTTGAGGCTGCGCATGCCAGCCTAGTTCGGGCTCAGTAACTACGATTCGCCGAGCAACTCTGAGCAGGGAACTTCAAAGCCCTAAATCTTAGCTTGGGCGCTGAATGTGGAGCCCCGGCACTGCACTCCCGTGTTTGCGTGCATGTGGAGCGCTGAACCGGGTCTGTAAGGGTGCTACTGAAGTTCCATACAGGTCCTATACATCAGAGCTTGTTGGGAGGTAACGGCTTTGGCGTTTAGATTCGGTGGAGTTTAAGGAATGGGGTCGGTTGATTTCCAGGACGACTAGGCCTGTCACACTGCAAGTCAACGCTCCGGTCGAACTTGCCAAGCTTTTCCCGATTCATGCATAGGTAAGCTGCCAGCCTAGACCGTGAATGAACCGTAGCATCCAACTTACCAGGTTCAAAATCTCAGCTATCCGTTTCGCATGCAAAAGCCGAAACGATCCAACGTGACGACATAACCCAAACTCTCAAACTTACCCGCTAAACTTCGCTCAGCCCCGAAAGCCTGAACCTCACATCTAGTATGAACAAACAACTCTACTACCACTCTAAAACCAGCAACATTTGGGGTTTATGAGCCTGAAACACGTCCTGCACTCCATGTCGAGGAAGGAAGGTCCACCCCTTCGCACGCAGTTGGTGAAAAGCCCGAAGGACCCTAAGGTTTGACAAACCCAGATATAAAATGTGTAAACCCCAAGCCTTCAACTCTAGACCGACAACCCCAAAGCTTCAGCCCTAAACCGTGAACCCGAAACAGAAACTAACCCTACACCAAGGCCCTCAACTCTAAACCCGAAGCTCTCCTCAAACTTAAACCCAGAAGCAAAACGGCTGATGTCGGGATCACACAAGAATTGTTGCTGTGAGTTCTAAAGAAGCAACAGGATACATCCATGCTCTCCGCTCTTAATGCTCGGTTGGGCCAAGGTCCAGGAGTCCAAGGGTTTGAGGCTTTCCATTCAAGGATTGTGGCTTTCTGGGTTGGAAAGACGTTGCTGTCTGTGCTTTCCTTAAGTCAATTTCTTTACGTACGGCTTTCGATTTGAACTTACACCTCCGGGTGTTCAAGTTTAGGACAGCTTGCGGGCCTAAGGTGTAATTCACTTGGCATTTCGGATTTGGCAGTCAAGGTTCGGAGGTTCCGGAGCTTCGGGTTGGGGAGTCTGGCTTCGGGCTTTGGTCAAGCGCAGCTTACGGATTTAGGGCTTCCAGGGCACTGAACGTATGCGGTGTTTAGGTTGGCTTCGAGCTAAGATACTTCGTTCTTTGGGTATGGAATGCTAAAACACGCCGGATGATGACGTGTGTGTGCGTGTGTGTGTGTGTGTGTGTGTGTGTGTGTGGTGCGTGCGTGCGTGCGTGCGTGCGTGCGTGCGTGCGTGCGTGCGTGCGTGCGTGCGTGTGAGTGTGTGTGAGTGTGTGTGTGTGTGTGTGTGCAGATACATAAATAGGTGTATGCATAGACATATACATTTCTATTGTTATATCTGTCGGCGTGTTTGTTTTTGGTTTGGAACGTGCGTAGGTGTTTTCCGCTGGTCGTGTTGATACGACAGGCACGAACATAGGAGCCTCTCCACGATCCTCGCGAAGAGAAGGAGTCAAGCTGATTCTTCTTCGCATCTCATGACCCATACCATCCTGACCTGTATGATAACTAGTACAGCTAATTACTATACCATCCCCATCGTGGATGGAAAGTAGGACTGAGTAGGAGCCAGAAGCAGTTGCGAAGGTGTTCAAGGTGGCTCTCAACCGGGGGCAGTGCCTTTTGGACACTGACCTCGAGTTCGGGAGTGAGTACCTCAGATGCAGCTGGGGCCATCGGAGCTTGAGGCGAAAGATAAAGGTTTAAGGTTCAAGCAAGGGCAGCACAAGAACAAACCAGCAACAACTAGCTACAGGACTCACGAGTCACAGGAAGACCACCAATGAGTATCTCGGGGCTTCCGTCGCTGTGGGGACATTGCGCTCCGTGGGTTTGTTCAGCTGCGTGGAGTCAAGACTGCCATTGTGCGGGACCAATGACTGTTTCGACTGGGTGGTTCAGTGCAATGCACAGGGACCATGTCCAGTGAAGCCCACGTTACCTTGATCGACGCATGTATCCAGGATTTAGAGTGGGTCCGGTCCTGTATCCGAGCTCGCCAAGGACCGGACGAAATCACAAGCTTAAATGGCAGCTGCCGCTGCCCCTCTGCCAAGCCTCTGCTTCGCTTGAACCTGACTGGGGCCTTGCGCCTTTGACGAATGGCAGGCAATATCTCGAGCAACATGACAAAATCTTATGTTTACACTCAGCTTTGGAACCCGATATCTTCGCAGCTTAGGCCGAAGTCCTGGACACCCTGCATCCCTTCAGTGTACGGACATGGAACAAAAACGGGCAAATCTTACGTAAAACGGTACCGCGAACCATCAGGCCTGGAGCAGGGGCCAAAGGCTGTCGGAGTTAAGCGGGTGTGGACAGCCAACAAGCTTACGGGAAAAATTGAGGGTTTGTGTTTCCTCTTCTCGTCAAGAGCAACGGATGCCTAGAAACACATGCCCAGCCATCCAGGAGCGGTGAAGATGACCACTTTGCATCTGCGTTGCCGCAGCAACTATGTATCGCTCTGGTCGGAACTGCGTGAACCATTGCAAGCCTTCACAACACAAACCAAAAAATCCTGAACCTCAACCCCTGAAAAGTGGTTCGCTCAGAGACCCGCGCCGGAAGACGAGAAAATCGCACCAGGGGCTTCCGAGGCACACCGCAAAGATCCTCGGCAAGGCCAGGTTCAGGTGCATGTCCATATACATGTAGATGGACTGATGATAGATCGATAGATAGATAGGTACAGATGGGTTGACGGGTAGGCAGTAGACAGATAGACAGACAACTGGCAGACCGACCGACCGACCGAGACCGAGACGGAGACAGACAAACAGAGAGACTGACAGAGATAGGTTCTGTAGGCAGACAGGTAGATAGATAGGTATAGGTAGACAGACAGACGAATCGTTGGATAGCTGGATGGATAGATGGAGTTCTGGACAGATGAATGGACAGACCGATACAGATTGCTAGATAGCCCTTTTCTAGCTAGATAGCTAGATCAATAGATAAACAGATCGGCAGGTTAAAGGACAAATAGATAGACAGATGGATGGATGGATGGACCGATGGATACATGGATAAATAGATAAATAGATTACATACATAGACGAATAGGTAGGTAGGTAGGTCGGTCGGTCGCTAGGTCGGTCGTAGGTCGGTAAGTACGTCCGCAGGTAGGTGGGTAGGTGGGCAGCTAGCCAGCTAGATAGATAGATGGATAGATAGATAGATAGAGATTCGCATGGAAGAAACTGTACAGGGTGGAGAGCGGGGTAGCAGTACTGTAATAGAATGTAGTGTGATGTAACTAATGTGATGTAGTGTAATGTAATGTAACTCCATGTCATGCAACAATGCACTGCAACACGATGTCTTGCAATGCCATGCCAGCCATGCCCTGCCCATGGTGCCGCGTCGCGTCATTGTCATGCAACACCATGCCGCTTCATTTCATGCCTAATTTTGTCATTGTCTTGGGGCTTTATTCGTGATTTCTCCGTGTTTCCAGCGACAGGTTCCGAGGCCCACACCGAGTGAAAGAACATGGGACTACACACGGACCCTAAGATGGACTTCCCATCCAAGTGGGCGGGGGCCTTGCCAAGTAGCAGCTCATGTCACGTCGGGGCGACGACTTAAAGCTTTGGAGTGGATGGCCTTGTGGTAGGGAAGGGAGACTGAGGTTTGGAAACCATAGCAACAAACAGGGGTAGCTAGCTACTAGCCTTCAAGCTTCAAATGCAAACAGAAACCTCGATTTCTTTGATCTAGACGCTAGACTCGACCTTGACATCAGACATCAACTTCCGTAAACCTTGATCCTAAGCTCTTCACATTTCAAAGCTTCAAATCTAAACGTAAAGACAAGATCAGGTTCGGCACGGCAGCGCTCCGCTAGCGGCCGGCGGAGGTGCCTTCGTCTGCACATCCATAGGCGATTTACGGCCCGGGGGGCTGCGCTGGACAACTTAGTAAGGGCTGCTAAAGTTTAGACATAAGAAGCATTGAACTCCGGACTCCAGAGCAGCAGTGGCAGTAGGAGCAGCAGTGGCAGTAGCCGAAGAAAGCACGCACGCACTCACACACCAAACTGGCCCTAGACCAAAGGCAAAAACGGCAAACAGCTGGGAAGTTGCAGAATTGCTCCTGGTTCCTATATGATACTGAACACACGGTGCAACACAAACAACACCAGCTGCAAATTGCCGCCACGTTTTCAACAATCCTGAACCAGAAGTCCTACAAAACAGCACTGACAATCGCCATCTATAGTCCAATCACGCGCGTCATGCATGTGAGAGCGGCTACACCCGCAGAATCGTTGTTCGCGCCTCACTTCTGGGTCTGGCCCTTCTTGTGAGAACCATTGCCTGTGCTGGCTAGAACTTGTCGTTTAAGCTTTCATGATTTTTTGTGTATTGAAGGTTTTAAAACTTGGGTGAAAAGCGTCTGGCCGAGCACAAACCTCTGCAAAGGACAAGACAGTTACAGAGATGATCGACAAAACTAAGCCCTCTCTGCAAGCTTCGTGTTTGTTCACTAGTCTCCGCAAATCATGCCTGTGCATCGCACGGAAAACTTCCCCTTAGCGCCTGCTGTCTTTTTACCCCGAGATCCCCAACTGAAAATCTTGATACGCTTGCGGATATGAAAACCCTGTCTTGAGGGGACAGTCTGCCTCATCTGCCCAAAGCTAATTTGCGGCCAAGAAGCGGCCTTTCTTTCGCCGCTTGATCTGGCCGCCGTCGCGGTTCTACGGCACAGACCACGCACAACAGGGCCCCCAAACACATGCGTGGCCTTTTCGGGATACTGAAGACTCATGCACGGCTTCGCAAATGATTAAACTACTAAACTGACGAAACTACGAAGGACTTGAACAGCTCTGCTTAATCGTCTTTTACCAAACTCCCGGCTCCCCTCCCCGCCAACAAACGCACGCACGCACTCACACACACACACACACACACACACTCGCTCTCTCTCTCGCTCCCCATCTCCCTCCCACATACACACCCACCACCGACCCACCCAATGCCCGCACAAACACAAATTCTTGCTAGTTGATCGACCAGTGACTGGAGGCTTCCTGCAAGGTACTGGTTGACTGTCTTGTCAAGGTCTATGCCAACGTGGCTCCACTGTAGACACATGTGGTGCTGAAACTGTGCATTTGTGTGTCTGGACATTGAACACTTCTGTGGCTTTTGCCAACTCAAGAGCCTGGTGTTTTTCAATCTCGCTGCCTCAGAGGCTCGGTTGTTCTGAAGGCACATGCGATGCGATGGTGATTTCGCACATCCACCTTCAAGGTTGGGCAGCCGCTTGCTTGAAGCCCGCTGCTCGCGTGCAACCAACAATGTGCAATGACAAAGTAGGCACAGAAGCAAACCGTTGCTGCACAGAGTTGCTGCGGCAGAGGAAGTGGCTCCATGTGCCCATGTGCGAGGACAGCACGCACACAGAGGGCATTGGAACTGGAGCGAAAGAATCTCCCTACCCCGCGTGTGCGATACAGTTGATACTGTCAGGGCTACACAAAGGATCCTCACACCATGCTGTTTGATAGCTTGGCGGTTCGCGAAGCATAACTTTTGGGAGCGCATGTGAAAAGAAATCATGGTGAGAACATCAGGATCTGACTGCCGAACTGCGACCCGAAACAAACCGCTCTGCACGCACAACCCTGAGAAACATGATTTCAGACAGCAGAAGCAATTATGAACATGAACCCCATGTCTCAATACGAAGCCCCAAGATCCGCATCAGCCGATCGGTGACATGGCGCGGCTGCGACGCAAGGACGACGATACCTGTTCATTGCCCTCAACGGCATCTCACCATCGTCCCCACTACCACCATCATCACCAAAACCTGCACTAACATCACACGGCTATCAGGACAAGAAGTGTACTGATCAGTCTCCGGGGGCAGCAAACATGAGCTCATCCAGGAGCTCCGATAACCGGTCCCGACGATGTGATACGTGATGCATTCCGTCACGAGTTTATGGCTCTTACAATTGGGCCTCCAAGAGAGTCAGGCCAGACCCAGAAGCGAGGTTCGGCTGCCTGAGGCGATTGCATGGCTCAACGGGGAACGGCCTGCGGTGCCTGGCATGTCTTGTCATGATTGGGGGTAGATCCTGATGTCCGTCAGCTGGGTTATTGTCTTCTGAGGGCCGGCTCACAGGCCATCTGCTGCAAAGCCTTGGGGGAGTCAGGACAGTATCGTTACGGAGTCACCCAATCCCCGAGACGAAAGCCAACGAACATGCGACTCCCACCGTGGCCTCCAGGAAACACGAAGAGGCATATTCATATTCAGAACCAGAATCACCAGCACCGTCATCCTCATCACAGTCACCACCTGGCAACCCTGCTCCGTAGTGAATAAGGAGTGAACGATAACTAGGAGTAGGAGTAGTGGTAGCATTCGCGGCAGCAGTAGTAGTAGTAGTAGTAGTAGTAGTAGTAGTAGTAGTAGTAGTAGTAAGTAGTAAGTAGTAAGTAGTAAGTAGTAAGTAGTAAGTAGTAAGTAGTAAGTAGTAAGTAGTAAGTAGTAAGTAGTACGTAGTACGTAGTACGTAGTACGTAGTAAGTAGTAAAGTAGTAAAGTAGTAAAGTAGTAAAGTAGTAAAGTAGTAAAGTAGTAAGTAGTAAAGTAGTAAAGTAGTAAGTAGTAAGTAGTAAGTAGTAAGTAGTGTGAGTGCACATACCTGTGTCAGTGCACTTGTCTCTGCTTGCTGCTTCTTTGTAGTTTGTGCATGTTGTATATAATTGAACGTTTGTTACGCCAAACAAATGCTTTTGGCTCAAGTGGCTTGTTTTCCTATAGCCAAGTGTGCACGGTAGATTTGCGAGTAGGTGTAGCTTCGCGGCCCGCGGAGTTGCAACTCGCGGTCGCCTGCGTGCTTAGCAGGTAGGGGACTGGGTTAGCGAGACGGACTCGCGAAGCAAAAAGCAGCTGCGCGGTTGTGATTGTGGTTTATCTGCAAGTCCAACTAGCGCGCTTCACAGTAGTAGTAGTAGTAGTAGTAGTAGTAGTAGTAGTAGTAGTAGTAGTAGTGGTAGTAGTGGTAGTGGTAGTGGTAGTGGTAGTGGTAGTGGTAGTGGTAGTGGTAGTAGTAGTAGTAGTAGTAGTAGTAGTAGTAGTAGTAGTAGTAGTAGTAGTAGTAGTAGTAGTAGTGGCGGCAGTGGCAGTGGCAGTAGTAGTAGTAGTTGTAGTAGTAGTAGTAGTAGCAGCAGTAGTAGTAGCAATACGACTACTGCGCGACGTCCTCGTCGTCTTCGTCGTCGGCCTCTTGGCCGCAGAGCCGCTAGCACAAGCTCAATGACGCCGTGCAACATCAAATTGTCAATAATCACGTGATCAACAACAAAGACTGCTGTGTTCCGCTACCAGCTCATGTTTCTTCCTCGATCTTCCTGTGTGGTTGCAGCTGCCGTTGAGTGGGGGGTGACCACGACTGCCAATCGTACTGCTGCAGTGGCTATTCCTGTGCTTGCTGACCAAGCGACCGCTCTTCATCTTCACGATGGCACGGAGGCTCACCTCATTCAGCGGTTCCCCGTTTTGACAACCGAATTTTCGGCAAATCTAACGAAGAAGCCAAGGCCGTGGCTGATGTCATCCCTGCACCGAGCTTGAATTTGAGACTGAAGGCGTGCTAGTAACAGCAGATTGGCAAATGATGGCTGCTGCAACTCATCGATGCTAGCGGCTAGCGGCATCGGCCAGGGGCGGCCTTTGGTGAAGGGATCGCAGCTGAGCCAGGACCTTCCGCAGTTCTTCGATGCACTCACTGTTCTGACACCAAGACATCACCGACAATACCACCACCGCCGCCGCCACCGCCCATTCCGATCACCACACCTGGAAAACACCAGCAGCTGCGGAATCGTCAAAGAATCCTGAAGACGATTATGCTACCAATCGCAAGAAGGTGTGTTACGTGCCGTTTTCTGATTTCACTGTTGCAGGCTGACGAACTTGCTTAAGATCTGGATGCCTAATTGACAGGGCATCTCGTCGTCATCTCCGGCATCGTCACCCGCACTGTAGCAGTGCTAGTTCTACTATATGACCAACAGCTGCCCTAGCAATAACAGATTCGTTTTGCAAAACCAGCTTTCTTCTTGCGAGCTTGTTGTTGCAGGCGTCGTCGTCGCCCCCTTGCCATGGTCTTAGTGGTGGTCGTTGTTGTCGTAGTCGTGGTCGCAGTCGTCGTGGTCGTCGCAAGCGTGGTCCTGGCCCTGGTGGCAGCAGGTCCTGTAACAGCAGCCGCAATCGAAGCAGTCGCAGCAGCACTGCACTGTAACAACCGCAGCGGAAGAACGGAAATCCGGGGCGACTGATCGACTAGTCGTAGTTGTTGCAACAGAAGCTCGACGACTTGGCTGCACACGAAACGGTCTACTTCGCAACATGAACTGAAGTTCCCTTTTCATAGTCCATACCATGAAGGCCTTCTCCTTTTCCCGGTGAGGATCCTGCAAAAAGGAGTTTATGTCGACAGAGAGGCATCGCAGGTATCTTCTGAGTGTCGCGGTGGACTGCGCAAGGTGTCTAGATTTTTGTTCAGCCAACGGGGCCTCAAGCATGGGGCTTCATAAGACCGCTGAAGGAGACAAACTCTGAGCCGACGGGAGCTTTGCCAATGAGCCCAAAGCCTGGTCCCTTCATTCCAATCTTGCCCGGTCCTCCTTCAGCTGCTTCGCATCAGTGGCCTCGCGGCCAAGGGGAAACAAACAGGTCAAGACGCGTCAGAGTAGTTTAGGGAAAGGTCCCATGAAGGCCTTGAGAGGTCAAAGAAAAAGAGCTTTTTGCGGGCGCCGTGCATGATCTACGTCAGCAGTGCCATCTCCCAGTCAAGCAAACGCTTCAATCGGTCTAAGGCCTGAAGTGTCTTGCTACCGTGTCAGGATGAAAATTAATGGAGGTCTAGCTCAACGGGTGTGACCGCCCGCTTGTGCACATTGTTTTCGTGTAGTGTAGGGGAGGAGGGCGGCAATGGTTTGTGACAGCTTTTTGCTTATCCTTGACCGACCGAGACCTGACCATGTTGCTTACAGAGTTGCGGAGTAAAAAAACTGGCAACCGAAATCTGAAAAACGCCACTGCCTTCGGGATGATGCCGAAGACTCTATCGTGGAGCAGTGCGGCTGCAGAATGAAGCCGGTAACGTCAATACACATTCAAGAAGCAAGTGCATAAGCCGAAAACTTTCGAAGCTTTAAACTCAAAGTTGTAAACAAACACCCAACCCGCAACTACAACTAAGATGGTGCGTCCCATGAACCGGTTTAAGCGCCACGGCCCGGTCAAGCAGCTTGCCTACTCGTCACCCCGAACTCAGATAACACCAGATTCGAACAGCAAGGACTGGCAAGAACTGTCTGAGGATGCTGCATCACTGTGTGCGTCGGAGGATCAGAGTAAATAACAAGAAGACCGAGGACTCATAGGGGCTCGCCTAGACTGTAAAACGATCCTTGAGCGGGGACTCAGTGACCGACAGGCCCATGAGCCAGCCCGATGGACCCAGCGTCGAAGTGCAAACCACAAACCACCCCCCCAGGCATCAATCGTAGACGCTCAACATGAAACCGGGACATCTTGCCTACAAGATGTAAAGCAGCCCACCAAGACAGATCGACATTACCACTATCTAGGGTGCCATAAGCCGCAAGGGCTGTATCCCAAGTGTCAGATTGCCAGCCAGGCCAGCCTTGATTGGGCCCGGCGTCTTCGGCCCGATGGGGTGTGGCATGACTGACTTAGGGCCTACAACGTGTTGCTACCTTGAATGTTACGACGAAGCCCGTAAGAGATCCTGTACTGGGGACACGTACAACTTCAGGGAGCAAGGGGATGATGAGTATTAACTTTGGAGGTGGATTGTGTCCGGGAAGGTGTCTCAAGGAGGCCCTATAGGTCAAAGGGGCCCCAGATTGCGTCACAGCCTCCTAAAGCAGACCCTAAGATAATATACTTTACTATGGTCCTTAATAGTGTATAGACTCCTAGAAGGGGCCCTCCCATTTTCGGAAACTTCCCATGTCTGTCGTGCATCGCACCCCATTCTGTTTGAGCAGGGATGACAGCGTTCGTTGTTCAGAATTTAACGCTTTCTTGGGGCTTGCAGGTTTTCGGGTCTATAGTTTCAAGCTTCGGGATGCTCCCAGAAGAAGCCTTAAGAGTGATGATGCTGTTTTCCGGCACATAGTACGGCAGGTGCCAGGAAAGTATCTACAGGAGACTGACGCACCACTTGCACATCGAAGATCACTCTGCACTGAACCTCTAACCACAGATTCGTCCGAGCACCCTGTCCAGATTCCGATAAGCAGAAATACTTCTTCCGACGTGCAGAGCAGCAGTGAAGTATTCAGGATACGAAAAGCTTTGGAACCGATACTCAACCGAAGAATCAGACCCTCTGGTGCGCAGTCTTGGTTCCATCCAATTTAAAGCAATCCAGAAAACTGGAACTTTGAAACTGCACCTACCTTGTTCGGGAGATAAGGACCTTGCAATGCGTTGGACGGGGCTAAGTGCGGGCTGTAATAGTACTCCGCACATGGAATTGTCAAAGTTATGGTCGGGCCCCCTACGTGCTAGCCGCTAGCCATCAAGACTCCTTTTGCAGTTCGAGCTTTTTGCTAACTGATAACGCGTGTCTGAAGATTGATTCTTACAAGAATCGTGCCCGCCTGGTGCTAGCGCCATTTAAGCACAGCTCAGCTGGGCACACATACAGGTCGGACAGGCGGAGGTCAGCATCATGTGCTGGACATGGTACCCCGAGCTTAATCTCGATTCAAGAAGGGTCGGGTCTCTCCAGGCGCACACGTTGATGTACCTCCGGATAAATGGAACCCGGATCGCGTTCATCGCAATTGGGCCGGTGAATGACCACGTGCCAGGGAAGTGCCACTTGGCCAACGGCTGTCATCTTCGCAAGGCAGCCGGAACTGGACAGTCTCACAGATATGCTGCTTCGTCGCGGAACCTGTCGTACCTTCAATGCCTTGAAAACGTGTCTTCAGTCGTCACTCGAATTATGCACCCCACCCCCCACCCACCCCCCCCCCCGCGGGCACAATGTATGTATATATATATATATATATATACATACACTAAATTGCACATACATACACGTATACACATACACGTAAGCATATACATATGAAATATGTAGACATATAGACCTCTATACTAAGGCTTCGAGGGTTGCAGACTTCCTTGTTTGAGAGGGAGTTGCTACTAGGACTGGCTTCGGCCAGACACCTCTCAAGATCTCAGGAACGACCAGTGCCATGGAAACACAGCCTGACGTCCAGACTGCAACGTCCAAAACCCGAAACAGGGCCCCGGCGGCGCGCCCCAAAATGTGCTGCTTCTCCGCGTGCCCTCACGGCACGGGCACAAAGGCTTTGGTCAAGGCTTTTGGCGTTGGTAGTTCTTTGGAGGAGATTCGGGGTTGGGGAGTTTCTACGGCATCCCTCTTTGCTGGCATCATCAACCATATGACAGTTGGTTCCGTGGTGCCATCACATCACCAGCACCAAAATAGCACTATGTGGCAAGGCAGTGGCCGCAGTGTGCAAAGGCAACAATCGCAACAGGTCTGGTGTCCCACATCTTCTGCCTGACTCGTGCCTGTCGTTCTGCTGGACTCAACCGTCTGACTCGCTGCTCGTCTGTCTCCGGACTCGTGTTTCTACCACGCACTCATGCCGACATTGGAACACAAAGGTAGCCTGCCTGCTGGAAGCCTCTGTTTGCAGCGGCACACTGGCTCAAGGCATACCGCGAGACAGAACCGTCTGTCGATGCCGAGTGTTGCTCTTCATTGCTCAAATCGCAAACTTGCCTGGGGCAATGCGGGAACAGCTCGGCACTCCGGTCTAAACACGCCGTGAGGACGACTTGCAGGCTGATCAAACAGGTGTTCGTAAGACTCTTTTAATTACGTATCAAATGGCAATACCATGACTTGAGCTTGATGGACAAATCCTTCAAGGCATCGATCGCTTCTCCGAGAGCATCCATCAAGGAGATGCTGCCTCTGAGACTCACATCGGCCGAATTTTGGCACTCGCTCGAGATGGCTCGATTTCAAAGTGGGGCACTTCCAGCATTGCTTTGCGGAGGGCTCTTGCCGTCCGGCCACCCAAAGTGTTTACGGTCCCGTGCCAGGCGCAATGTAGATGGTCACTTGTCTTTCATCTGGATTTCAAGCGATGGGGAGATGCGATGCTAGAATCGTCGGCCACGGGAACACTCCAGGCATGCAGTGAAACAGACAACGCGTCAGCACAGCCTACTGTAGCGGCCTAGCAGCCTCCTCGCGCTGCACCTCAGGCCAAAACATCTGATGCGTCTGGCTTCCAAGGCTCTGACTGGCAGAAAACCTTCGAGGCTGGAACGTCGGAGCTTCTTGCGCTCAGCATGCTGCAAGTTCGCCTGTAAAGCACGCTAAAAAAGCGCAGCCTTGCTCCGATAGCCGTACCTCATTTTGTACTTCACACGCCTTCAGGCCCTGGATGCTCGCAGGAATGACAACCAACGACGGGCCTTTGTCGCTCATCCTGATGAAGTCCATGGAACATGATTGCCACATGTTGACGCGGTGTACTCCGCACTCCCGATACTCCCGCTTCAGAAACTCCTTATTTAGCCACTTAGCCCTGTATTCCTCCAAGCATCCCGCTTTGGGAACCATTTGCGTGCGCAAGAGCCGTTGTACCTCAAGCCGACACGTCGCGCATCCTTCTACATAACCGACAAAGCCAGAAGCTCGATTGTGATCCCTCCCATGGCCCCCGGCTTGTCTTTGAAGGCATCTGCAGCTGTGCATGTGCGGAAGTTCATGAACACATAGCCAGCATTCTGCCTGATACAAAGGCCACGGCCGCTGATGCGAGCTCAACTTAGCCTCGCCTTTTGGTATCCATGGGCATGTGGCAGTAATCGATGTCGTGCTTAAAATCCTCACGCGCGACATCAATTGCGGACCATTCTGAGTAGCAATTGGCATAACTCTCCCAGAGTCCTGACAGAGCATCAGAACCTGGTCGCGGGACATCTTTTTCGAGATGTTCTTCAAAACCAGGGTCACGTCACCTCAGACCCAGCATACGCAAGCACGACACAAGCACCAGCACGTCACACCGGCTCTTCCCAGTTCGGGAGCCCTGCCGCGAACTTCCGTCCCTTCTTCCTCAGCTGGCGCCGCGGTTCTCATCACTTGCAAAAGATTGTGACTTCAAACTGGACTCATCTTGACACAAAGCTGCAGGTGCTGCAATGACGAGTTTATGAGTTTATGCTCACTTTGGGCAGCTCTTGTCCTTTGATGTGGCGCTCTCCAGCACCGCATCCCGTCTCTCCGGCGCTCATTTCAGGATTCAGAGATTCCGGTGCGAAGTGTCTGAAAGTCCGTTTGAATGCACAACCTGTGCCTTCCAGTGCCCAACTCCACAGTGCCTGGAGGGCCCGCCTGCAAGCGTCTGGCATTAAGCTGACATGCCGCGCTCTCCCGCCTGGGGTGCCCAATGAATGGCTGTCCTATCTTGGTTCGAGAATCAGAGCTCGCAGAGTGTGCTCCTTTGCACTCCTCATAGATATGTGTAGTGTGATTCGAGAGTCAGACCTAGCCACGTGCAATAGCACCAGTTTGGAGAAGCAGGTTGTGTCAAGTTCGGCAGCATGCTGTGGTATGTCGAAAGTCGTACCTGGCATTTTGTGAGAGCAGCAAGTCTTGGAGAAACAGGTTCCCTTGTCAAGTTCTGCCGCCTGGCCAGGCAAGAGTCAGATCGGGCACATTGCCACAACTGCAATTTTGGAACAAAAGGTCCGTCAAGTTTCTCTGCAAGCGGCAGATTGCGAGAGCAGCATGTGTCAAGTCAGAACGCAGTGTTGATCTGACAGTGTTGCGTAGTGTTTCGTGGACCTATTTACACAAGACCTTCAAGCCGCGAGAGCAGCAGGTTCGGAGGCGGAGGTTATGTCAAGTCCCTCAGCGTGCTGCGTAATTTGCGAAGTGTCCTGCGGCGTCTCGAGAGTCAGATCTGGCAGAGCGCAAGCGTATCAGCTGGGAGAACCAATAACATCAAGTTCGGCACCGCGCTGCGTGCATCTGTGCAGGGTACCTTGTGGTTTTTGTTGACGCTCACATTCATCAAGAGTCCTCCGACCACATCAGATCACATCAGTTTGGAGTCTGGAGAAGCAGGGTATGCCAAGTTCCGCAACTTGCTGCGCAAATCCGCATAGTTTTCTACGGCAATAAGCTTCAGATTCAGAGAACTCAAGTCGCGAGGGCAGCTTGTGGGAGAAGCAGGTAATCTGAGTATCACCCGGTGTTTCGAGCCTCAGACCCAGCAGCGGACAAGAGAAACAGCAGTTTTGGAGATGCCAGTTGTGTCCAAATCTGCAGCTGCGTAGATATGTGCAAGTAGCGATATTGGTATAGCATCCTGTGGTGATTCGAGGCCCACTCAGCAGTGGTGCATACCCAGGTTGTCCCGGCAGTGCCCCCAAATCATCCCAGCACTGCCCCAGATGATCCTTTGTCCCTCCAGTGCTCCGTGAAGGTGTTTCAATGTCCAGGCCAAAGCTGCTCCGAAAGCACTCAGCCTCCCATCCCCACTTCGCTACCCTCTGATGTCTACGGGCTGCTTCGTTGATGGTTTCGTTTTTGAGTTGCCGCCCGATGTCCTAGCAGTCTCGCCCCCCAACGTGATCCCAGCAGTGCCCACTCCATGTTGTTCCGTTGTCCCATCCGCTTGCCCGGACCACCTTCCGCCCTTACACCAGGTGGATATTGAATGAATGAATGAATGAATGAATCCGCTGATGCCCTCAGTGCCCTCAGACCGAGGCCGCGGCTGAGATGCACAGCTCCAGACCCAGTTTCGCAGCGGAACTTTGCATCTCGCTTTGATCCTTCAGCGAAAGCCCACGGCCCCCATAAAGATCTACTTCTAGAGGAATCCAGAAAAGGACTGTTCGATGACAGCAAAAAATACAACGAGGTCTGACTCGCGCGCCATCGTGAATGTCAAACATCTCTCCGCGAAGTCCTGGCTAGGACTGCAAAGACCACTCAAGTTGACAACTCCAGGAATTACGGGATTCCTTGCCTCCAGCGCTTGTGCTCGGGCCGCAGCACCTCAGCGACGAGCATACACCGATGCCAGCGAGTCGAAGCTCTGACGGGGAGAGCCCTAGACCGACAGACAGTGACGGCTTGTGCGTCACCCGCGGTCCTGAGGGCATTACTGCAAATAGAGGGACACCTGAAAGCAAAAGACTCAACAACTCTCTTGAGCTGCACGCCGTACGGTGAGGTCACGAAGTAGGGCACCGGCCTGCTGAGAGCAACAGCATCTCGCGATGGACCTGAACCAAGATCGGAGAACGAAGCGAGCAACCCTGAAGAGAGAAGTCCAACGTCACTGAGCTTTGCTGTCCCTCTTGCCTGGATGCTGGAATTGCCCCGCGCCCCACGGATGAGAAGATCCCTTGATCAAGAACACTGCGGTCGGTGAAAGAGGCGCCACAGGTCACACAGATGCACTCAAGCCTACTTCGCACTCGAATTCGTATTGCATGCAGGGTACAGACTCGCAGATCCTCTATTGCCTTAGTGGTATCACGCACCGAAACGAAGCGTTTTCCAGCCATGCACATCGTCCAAACCTGCTTGACGCTCGAATGTAGACACACAAACGTTAAAATTTGGAGCATTGCATCCCTAGGGATGTTTGAAGCTGTTTGCTTCCGCTGCTCGTGCAGCGACGAATTCTACCACGTGTGTGAGTGTAACGAAAGCTATAGGCCGACCTCGCAGGATGGCACAGTCATACGTGTCATGCCGTCCGGCTTGCAAAACCTAAATTCGCTCTGTGGGCTTTGCTGTGCGTCATGTGCACAACGTTTCATTTCTGACGTGCTTATGATGTGCAGAAGGACCCTGGATATGCATGGTCCTCCTGCCTCTCAATGCCTCACCCTCCTGGCATGCTAAGCAGGAAACGGAAGCCTTGGAACCGCAACTATGCGCTTCCACACATGCAAGAGACTGTGGAAAGGGCCCGTGTGAGCCCGGATTGCGACCCACGGGTCTTTCGCGAAATCTGAAGTTCTGCCTCATCTCAGATCCCGGAGTGTCACCTTAGCAAAGCCGAGCAGTGGCACTTCGTGGCACTTTTCCTGCCCTGTTTTCTGAGTCAGACGGCTGTGGTTTGAGCAGCTTTCCGTGGGTCACTGAGGTCATGCTGGGATTTGCGGTGTCGACATAAAAACTTGCATCAGAGGTGCAGCGCTCGCTGTACGTGCTCCAAGTGTTTTTCCTAAACCGCCTCGCTTGGGGTTCATGCTCTCCGAACAGCAGTAATTTACAGCAAACTTGTTCATAACAGAAGCAGCAGTACAGGCAGGCATGTGTAGCAGTAGCGGTTGTCGTCGGTCTCCGTCGTCCACCAATCTAAGCACCACACTGAAGCTCATCGTCGACATGCCGGCGACGGTGGTCCATCTCCTGGCGGCCAAACAATGCAACAAAGTGAAGTAAATCTTCAATGAGCGGCAGTAGACACCCGAATCAGATCCAGAAAATGCACACTGACGAAATCATTCAAGGCCGATCTTGGTGGCTGAGGTGCAAAGCTGGCAGAGGTCATGCAGTGATTGCTGGTCTCTCTCGCTCTCTCTCCCTCCCTCTCCCTCCCGTGCAGAGGGGTTGGTCAAGACCCCCGGGCATCAAACCCACCCGCACAGTGTTTGTGCAGGGAAATGGTGTGAAGAACGAGTATAACTTCCCTTCTCTCCGGTTCTGGAAACACCTTGCAGTATGCATTGTCCCCCCGAAGTAGCCGGGTAGACAGTGGTCCAATTTGGCAGTCCGTGTTAGTGGCTCCAGCGGCTTCTTCGACAGGGCTTGAAGGGCTGGTTAGGCCCCCCGGCCTCATGGGCCCCCCGTTTGTTACGGGGCTTTCGGTAGGGCGTGAAAAAGCATGGGTTCCCCTAGGTCCAGCGGCTCTCTCTCTCTCTCTCTCTCTCTCTCTCTCTCTCTCTCTCTCTCTCTCTCTCTCTCTCGCGGACTCAGGGGTTTGTCAGCCACGCGGTCGTCCAGCACGAGACCAGACGCACCGAAACAGTGATTGCTGGTCTGTTGCAGAGAAATACGAGTATCTCGGTGCGCAGAGCATTTTCTAGACGCACAGTACTGTAACTGTGCTTCCCCGCGCGCCTAGGCTTGCAAACTGCTACCCAACACTGAGAGGCAGTTCTGTGAGGCTTGCGTCCTCCGCCTGGATGGTGGCACCTCACCGGACGACTATGTAGTAGAAGTGCAGACTTGTAACGTGACAATAACGTGCTCATTTCTACTGCATATTCCCATTGCAGAGTGGTTCAGGCTGCGCAAGACTATTCTGCGATTATGGGTCCGCTGTGTCCTCAAACATAGGCCCCCTCACGCGCAGCAGTATGGAGACAAAGAGGCGCAAAGACTCCCAATTTATGGCGACGTCCTAGGATGCTGGCCTCTTCCGCCGTCCGTCCTTCCTGGCGTGGGTTTTGTGGCTTCCTGACAGGAGCAAGAAGCAAAAATCCCCAGCAACGGCCAAGTGCATGAAGGCAACACAACTGAAGCATAGTAAAGTATAGTCGTCGTAGAATGGAATGCGGCATACGCAAGAACTCAGCCAAGCCCCCAGACCAGCCACATACGCTTTCGCCAAATGAAGCTTCAGTACGGAAGCCAGCCTGCGCCACACTTCATCTTCTTGGCAGCCTCGAACCAGGCCAGCCATCGCAAACTAATGCATCGTGTTGAACAGCGACGTTGAACAAGCGTAGTATTTTGCATCCTGGCGCCAAAACACAACCTCGTAGGGGCCGCCTCCGTTGCTTCGAGAATCAGGCCACAAGCGTCGAGGACTGACGACAATTCGCCACAAACAGAAACCTGAACTCTGCATTCGTGCAAGATCATGCTGACGTGAAGCCTGACACGTGTGACACAATCTGTGCCCACAACCAACCGGTCGCCACAGATCTCCTCTCGCTCCACCTCACAGGTTAACAAGCACTCACCAAAGCATCTGTTTGCAGCTTTGCCGTTGTATTCTGCTGCGGGATCTGCAGGGTCCGGCGGTACAGGGCAACCCGTCGTGGTACGCAGAGCTGCGAAATGACTCATGTAAAAAGACGTATGGCCACGGCTTATACCAGCCTTCACCACCGTCGCGTTTGTCAACATGATTGAAAAACGTTCGCATTGTCGTTTCATGGGCATGCCTTCCAACCTCTCCACCTGTCATCACAGCTTCTGGTAATTGTAGCCTTGGGCATAGGAAACGTGAGTCAGCATTGAAGAACTTCTGACAGCCAACTTGTTGATCACATTCATCGTGTAAGATGACCTCACACGAACCTGCGAAATCCTGCAAGGACACGGGTAACATCGTGATTCGTTCTACCACCCAAAACAAAAAAGTCAGGAAATAGCCATGCCATACATACCCAACATCAGAGGCAACTGGTAGTCTTGCAGTGTCAAATCGGACCTATAGCAAGCGGCGCGTACGATGGAATCTGTAAATTTGGAGGCGACTTTTTGCGTAGCGTGGACGTCCAATAATATCCCCAAGCATTCCAGCAAAGTACCGGGTCGCAATCCATCAGTGCAGGTTTGGGCCCGGTGCCAATTGGATTGCTTTGCTTTGGGATAGGCCTTCCCCAACAAGTCGCGTAATCTACACAACAAAATATCTGCAGAACTTATAAGATGTGGAAACGTACCTGCATTGCCTGCGCCTGGGTCCTGCGGGGCAGCTGGCGGGGGAGTCATCATTTGTTCATGTTCCGTTTCATTTTCATGTTCGTGTTGCGTCAATTCCGTTGGGTCTGTTGGGGGCAGGGCGGGCACGGAATATGTAAATATTTTCCAGCATTTTCGGCTGGTCACGGAGCCTAAGCAGGGGTGCAAATTCTTGTGCAGGTCATAAGCAGCTCATATTACATGAAGTGTTGGACTCGTGGTCTGCAGGACAACATGGTCTAAATGAGGGAAGCTCCCGGTGGACAATGACATGGAGGAGCACATCCAAACAAGTAGTTTCCTGGATACACACGACACTCTCACTCTGTATGAGTCTGCAGTCCAGCCTGGACAGGGGTTCCGCACTGTTGCCGTATGGCCTGGCGCTCTCGAAAAGAATCAGCTGCCCCCGGTGCTTCATTCTGTGCTACGCGGCCGCTCGCAGGTGCCAAACCCAGAAGCCCGCCTTCAAGCCGTCACCACCCTTCCCGATCAGGGTGCCGACATGGCTTCCTGGAACCAGGAACTTTGCTTTCGCCACCTGCCATGACACAAAGCTCTTCGTTTTGGAACACCCCGCTCCCAAATTGAGGCCACGTCCTGCTGGTTCGCAAAAGCCAGTTTCAGAACCTGGGAGCCATTTGCAAAGAAAGCTCGAAGCACCACTGTGCCAAACTCGCTGGGCACTGCCTGCGTGAGGGCGAACTGGCGGCCCTCCAAGCTGCCCGTGATGTGGACCAAGCCTTTGCGAACTGCGAAACGGAGGATCGCTGGAAATTGCCTGCAAACTTTGGGCATCCTGGGCCCTCGCGTTCAGCGAAGTGCGCTGCCTGCACCTTTGCAATCAGCAGCTATCAGAAGGGCACGCCATCAGCCCATTTAAGAAGCATGCAGCGTTGAGCAGACATGCGGAATCCCGACCTGATTCAGGACCTGCAGCCTGGCTCCGCTGCCTGGGCAGCGCTCTTCACCAGGTTCGATGTCATCTTTCGCATCGCCTCTTGCAAACTGTAGGCACTGTAGGCCGCAGGCTTTGTTGGATGTGCCTCAGCGAATCGCTCTGCTCGCTAACGATCTCGGAAGGCCTGGGCATGCGAAAGGTGAAGCTTCCAGCCGAGGGGGCGCTTCCCATTCCAAGCCAGTGGCAGCAGCAGCTTAGTGGCACCCTCGCCCGGCTGGAATCATCACGTCAAGTTGGCACATGCAACATGAAAGGGCACAATGCCACTTCTGAAGGCCTGCTGCACTCCAATTTCCTGGCTCGTCGCACTGCAGCCTCAAATCGACTTCCAAGCCGTGGCTGTAATGTCAAGTCTGTTGGGGCCGAGTCGACAGCATGCACTTACCTCACAAGGAAACACAGGAGCCCAACCTTAACAACAAGGCTCCCTTCCGATCGAGTCCAAAGCTGTTCGCAGCAGGTTCTTACACCAATCTGGAATTCACCGACACGACAAACTTTGCGAACTACTTCGGTGCGAGCTCGAAATTCCAAAAGAGTGGAGTAAACACCCCGCATTGAAACCCTAAGCCTCCCTCCCTTTCGGGACTTCACCAGTTACGCGACATGGAAGATAAATTTTATGCGTGCTTATGCCTTTCAACTTTAAGGCCACACTTCCAAATGCTAGCAGCGGTGCTGGAAGACGATGCTGCAGCAGATGCTCGCCTTATTGGAAATTGCAAGTCTTTTTCATTAAACTCCAATGCCCACGGTGCTTCCGACGTTGCTCTATTTGAGGCCAGTGCATGAGCGACACCGATGCACGCTGCAGATCACCGCCGACCTACCGGAAATCTAGACGCTTGGCAGCATCGGTTCCAAAATGAAATGCGCCTTTGTGCTGAGCAAGAGGCAGCTGGAGGCACAAGCGTGGTTTAGTGTGTCTGACGACTTCTTGCATCCCGGCTGCCTTGGGGAAAACATACGATCATAAGAGCGGCGGCCTCTGGAATTGACTAGGTTTACAGACTTCAACTGAGACAACTCGCTCCTTTGGGTTGAAAGATGTTAAAAGCAACCAAACTCCAAAATAATGCAGAGGCCTTGGAGCGACAGCGACTGGCACCTCTGAGCGTGTCTTGTTACTGTCCGTCTGGGAGTCAGGGCTGCCCAAGCCAAGGCGTTTGAAGATTGAAATCGCCCGAACCGGAAGAGCTCGCGGAACTCATAGCTCGCATAATTGACTGTTGAACCTCAAGACAAACGAGCAACCCTTTTCCTTCGCCTTTGGGGTCGAAGGCCTCTTCAACAGAATAACAAGCTAACAAGCCATCTGCCTTCAGGCTCATCCGGCCGCTGCATTTGTGTGAGCGACACCGCGCACCGCCTCATGGTTTAAAGACTCGGCTTCAAGTGGCTTGCTTGAAGACGCGAGCATGTTCTCTTAAACGTCTTTTGCATCTGCGTTTAGAGGTGTTTCTGGCTCCTCGAGCTCGAGCTTGCGGTCGGACGTTCGATCGGCGATTGGATTAAGCAGCTTCGTGTCAGAATGGCACGCAGCAAGATGGCGGCCAAAATTCACTGGCGACAGCCGTGCAGGGTTGTACTCGCAGGGTCCTGGTACAATCCCGGACTTGTCCCACAACATCACTCAGCACCGCGCATTGCAGAAACCTTCCGTCTGTTCTACCTGACAGGCCCTGGAAACAGTCCCCAAATCCTGAACCAAAGCAAGCTTACAGCGCTGGGTTGAGGCTGAATTGGTGTCGAGGGGGCTTCGTGGCACCAGCTTCGCGCGTGGGTCAACACTATCACTATGGATACCTTCCGCTCTTTGTAGGGGAAGTTCCGAAAGATTCCGAAACAAGCCTCAACAACTTCCCACTACGGAAGGTGCGGTGCCATCGGGCCCCGCCACAAAAGCTCTCATATAACCGAGCAGCTTGTCGAAGCTGTACTCACACATTCGAGACAGGGAGTCTCTTGCACTGGCCATTGCCGATGCCTGTGTGGCGGTGGCGGCGCTGTTCTTTGGAGCTCTGCATTTGATGCACACTCAAGATCGAAGGGTTGGGATTATCCTCATAATGGGAAACCCACAAAGGGAACCCATAGTTTTTTTCAAAGCCCCAGATAAGCCACACGATACTATCAGAGGAAGATCGCAGTTGGGGTGCCTTTGTCCCTACGTTCTTCTAACCTTCAACTCAGCTTGCCTCGCTCACTGAGGGCTCACAGCCCGTGGTCGGGGTGCTGCTGTTGCTGGCTGACCTGCACATGAAACTTGTACTGATATGATCCAAGAGGCTGGAAACCACAACACCAAGTGAGCGTTCTCAGCGGCGCTCCATCACTCTGAGCGCCAGTCCCGTCTTCTTTCACTGCCTGCTTTCGCCACCCATGGGATGAAAGGACACCAGTGTCCTGCCCACACTCGTTTAACAAAGCAGAACAAAAGCGTTGGCTCTTCAAGAATCCGCCGCTCAACACAGGCATGGCCTCTCCAGAATGCAAGGAACTTTGTCTGGCTTTCGGGGGTTTCCGTCGATTTTCTGGGGCTTCTGAATTCTTGTTGATGTTGAAGAAAAGCAGCTTTTAATTTCTTGAACCCTCAAACTCACCCCAAAGCTGGCCTCTTTCAGACCACTTGCAGGACTCTCAGGCGCAAAGGCCATATTCGCTGCTCTTTCCCGCCTCGGAAGCCAACAGGATGCAAGGGGGCCCTGAAGTCTATTCCTCAAAGATCCTTACGGGCTTTACGGGTTATATTCCCACGATTGGACTCTGTGGATTTCCAGGTGCTCCTGGGGCCCAGGCAGCTACAACAATCTGTCCGAGTAACCTGCGCGTGCAATGCAGCAAATCAGGGACCTTCCCTAAATTGGGTTCTCTTTTCGGGGTACCTATTACATTGCGCGGTCTTCGAACGTATCTAGGAGCCAACACGGCGACCACTATTTCCAGAACTGGTCAGGTGCTTTCGAGCCTGATGCCGAAGATGATGCGGATGCCAGCGCGAAGATGCCCCCGAGTTGCTACGTGCAACGGCTCTCTCTCGAGTTCCCGCGTATTTACAGAACGTAAACTTGACACAGCAACATAATAGCCGTCGTGTGCGGCTTGGTGTCGATCGGTATCAGACGCACCCAGAACTCGAGAGCCAGGAGCATGATCTGACTGACCTGATCTGAGCCGACGCCATCACACCAGATCCCCCTGGGAGCGCAATGTTCCTTCCTTATGAAATGTACCCTTCGCACTAAAAAGAAATGCGCTGAAGCCCACTTCGCACCCGAATTCGCGTTACCTGCACGGCATCAAAACTCAAATGACCTATTGCCCCAGTGGTCTCACCGCCCGAAACGACATGAAACAAATCCGCCTGTTGTCAAGCTGTGCGCCCAAACTAGAGAACAGTTTGCGCAATGGCATCTGTTGCAGCTCGGCTTGAGATGCGGAAGGTATCTTAGCGTTGTTGAGGATCATCAACATCAGCCGAATATCGTGACAATCCCCCTTCATTGCTGATAGCTGTTTTTTTCAAGTGCACCTGCGGGTCTGCAGCTGCACTCGGTTCTGTGAGACAACTGGGCAGCGGCTCGTAATTCTTGCCTTCGCCCACCCTGCGCACGCGACAAGTCTTGGTAGTGCCAACAAGTCGTAGGCAGGGTTACATCGCCAATACAAGCATTGACAACATCAAAACAGTGATAGGAACATTGGAGCTACAAGAATAAATACTATTTGCTGCAGCAATCCTATCATATTGAGCCGCATGCTCCGGCGTATCAACGTCCGCACCACGTCAAACACCATCAAGACAGCTACCCAACTGCCAAGTAGAATTCTATGAAAGCTGACCACGTGCCTCCCCTTCCCTCGTCGTGGATGCGGTCAACGTGCTTTGGGCATCGGCCGAGTGAGCCCGGCAGGTGCCACAGGGCAATCGGTGCTTTGAGATGGCTGCTGAGGGGCTTCCTATGGTTTAGGGTTTAGGGTTATATGAAGCTTCATGTGGCCTTGCTGGATTCTTGGACCGCTGCATCGTGCCATAGTGAACCCTAGGATAGACTGAGAGACTCTCCAGACGTTTACAGGACGTGCTGAGACCGCACCTACATCAGAATTCCAGGCTAGCTGCTTTCTAGGTCTTGCGGACTGAAGGGTTGAAAGCTGCTTGCAGTGAACAGCGGAAAGGATTTAGGGATGCTTTTAAGCCTGACGAGCCGCCGGTTCCACCGTGGTGTCGGTGTCCCGGGAATCCTGCTTGAGCTCAATGCACCGCCATCTCACCACCCGAAACAAAAAGGCCCGTCCCTTCTTCCAAAATGCACCCTCCTCCTGTCACGCATGAAGAGTGGCTCTCGAATGCACACACTGCTCTCTATCTGGGGCCACTCATAGAGACCATGACGGGCCAAGGTCACACTCACAGTCACCGTCAACGGCAGCCCCGGGAATTCGCCGAAATGAGACCCGCCGAGAACTGAGCCGAGATCCTGGTCGGTTCCGCTCTCCATGAATCGCGCCTTCTGCATGGAGCTCCAAACTTGGGGATCCCATCAGGGCTCGGGAACTGGAGCTTGGGTCTTATAGGCTTTGGGGTTCTGATTCTGGGTTCAGGCTTCCTTTTGGCTACAATCCCAGGAGCCGCGTTGAACCCAACCGGGCCAAACACTGAGTCCTGAGCTGAGACCTTGCAGCAACACTTACGGGCTGCTGCAGCTTGGAAGAGTATATCACAGGGCGGGCACAGAAGCGGGCGTTGAGGTGGGGCAGCATCTGACGTCAGGGGAGCGAAGAGCCTGCCGCCGCTGCTCCCAGCGCTGGTCGCGCGGTCGCGCAGCCGCCCTGCATGGCCACGAGTCAGGCATCCAGGCATGCAGCCATGATCATCTCTCAGAAGACTGATTATCAGGTTATCATCGAAGAGATCCTGACGGAAGCTTTGGTCCAAATCCGGAAAAAAAACAAGTGTAGGAGCGGCGTCGGACTGGACTACCCCACTACGCCAGAGGAACAGCAAGCTTTACGCCGCAATTGCAAGCACAGGCCACCCGCTGGAGGAGTCGGAGACAGGCGGTGTCGGCACTTTCGTAGGCAGCTTTGCCTGCACCGTGCGTCGGAGATGTTGTTGCGTGCACTGCTAAGGTAGCTCCGTCCAGCATCAAACTTGCAATTCCTCCGTCATTGCAGTCTGATCTCGATGGCATGTCCCGCGAAAAGAGAATGTATACCATGAGATGTTGACCTGAGCTCACGACGTGCACTTGCAGCATGTGCCCACTTAGCATCGTGCGAAAGCAACCCTGAATACTATGCTGCATCCGTCAGTGTCCAAGATGCTTGCCTGAGGTCCTGCGCTCGCCGGTCTTCGGCGCACGCGCACAACCTGTCGAGAAACGCTCACAACAGCAAGCGGGTGAGTCTCGAGCAATCTCTGACTCTAGCAGTCTATGGATCACTGACCAGCCTCAACACCACCAAGCTGCAGAAACTACAGAGCTGCTACAGATATTGCATGATCGAACTTCCATTGCTGCCTTGGAAATGTGCCGATTACTAATTGCAGCTTCTATCTGATCACTTCAGCTGCTGTTGCCAGCACTTTGGATTCGGTGCAACCGGCCCTCTTTCCCCCTCTCCCCTGAAGAGGCTGGCCCGCAACAGGCCTCCTCGGCGGTTTCCCAAGGCGGAAGTGACCGCGGTGCTGCACCATGGAACTGGACCGAGAGCAGCTTCCGTTTTCGGGGAGGTGAGTGAGCATTGCATGGAGCGGTGTACTTGAGGTCTTGGTCTTACACTGCGTCCATCTGCGGCTGGTGTCGTCCAGCTGATCAATGTTGGACCTGTGAAACCTCGCAAGCCGGCATGGCCCCGGGTCCTACAGCGTGTCTTTGTGGGTACCGCAACCCAACCAACTTTTCCATCGCCGGCAATTCCCTCGCCCTACATCGCAACCCTTTGCAAAACTGGAACAAGCAAAAGTCTCAAACGTTGAAGCATCCTCGCGAGCAAATCTCTGACCTCCGGCTCCCGCCGCAAGTGCTCACCGGACAGTGAGGGCTCCCTTGGTTAGAAGCAGCTTTGGATTTGCTCTTTTCGGTGTGTCATGTCCCACCGCAAAGTTATGGGATCAGACTGATAGTGGTTAAAGTCATTGTTAACACCATGTAGCGCTTAAGGCGGTTGAATGCGGCTGAATGATCTTCGGATCTGTGACTTGCGGGGGTGTAAGCAACCAGACCTGTCAGCCAGGATTGGGGCAAAGTCGCTGTTGGGAGATGCTGGCGCCATTTTGAAGCAGTAGTTACGCCAGGCCGATGGAGCTGAATGTTTGTAGTTGCAATAATCGCAGCATCAGCAAACGTCAATGTAACATCAAATCTGGGGCTCCTGGCGGGCTCAAAGCCTCGACCATCTTCGCAGCAGCGGAGTTGGCACGGAGCTTCCCCGAGCGAGAGAGCCTTCTCGGGTGGCTTCAGAATGAGGCCTTTAAAATCCTTCAACTAATGCGGTGAGAAGGCGTCTCCTCTTGCGGAGTTCATTTGCTTCTGCTTTGTCTAGGCTGGCAGGTGAACTTCCCTAGTCCTGACACGGGACGCAGTTGCTTCAAACGGGGGAACGAAGCTGCAGTTCCGACACGACAGCACTCAGGCCAGACCTGTGTAACGAGGCCAAGCAGTACAGTGCGCTAAGCCATGGAGGCCAGCCCAATACCTAAAGCATGTCAGTAAATTAATGCTTAGAAGCGGAAAGCCCTCCAGCGCCCCAAACGAAAAGGTCTTGGGACTTAGCCAAAAGGCCATTTATCAGCTGGGCAATGACCCAAATCCCAAGCGGTGTACTTGTGAACCCCATTTTGAAGCTACTTACCAGATCTCAACCTGTCAAGGCTTCACCAGAGCCCCAGCCTGCGAAGCAGCATCTCAGCTGTGGGTCTCTTGGCTGGATCTCTCGTGAGCCTGTTGCAGCTCCCGGGTGATCAAGGGGGGCCCTGAGCAATCAGACTTGCGTCTTTGGGGGAGGGGGGGAGGCGGGGAAGTACAAAGGGGAAACTGCCAAAGACACTGGCATGAATGACTCGGACCTTGAACTTCACGGCTCATCGTGGTAAAGGACGAAAAACCGACAAAGAGCTGGAATGAAGAAAACGAGCACGAAGAACAAACGATGATTACATTCATCTCCTGATCTGGCAATTACGCGAATGCGACGAAAAACAATGTCAACACAGGCCGTATGACCAGTTTACAATAACCAGGACGTGTGGACCGTAGGAACGGCCCTACCGTGGCAGTCGAATTGTCTTTCGGCTCCACTCCCCAGGCCCACAGCAACCAAACCCAGTCTAACCACAACCCAGCTGGCATGGGACAACTGCAGAAACGGAAACCGTTAGCCCCTTTTTTGCATCAGGACTTGTGCAATCGCCTGAATGTTTGAAGCGTTAGCCCCTGAAAGACCCATTCAACTCAAGTGCCAGGGAACGCTTTGCCTCGGGCGTCGGCGGCGTCGGACTGCTATCAGGCTCCACTGCATAAAACCTCAGATGCAACAGGATGCGAACTGCTCCTGCTCTACGAAACCGCCACCTCGGCCGGGCTGCAGTAGGTAGCCTTCGTTCGAGCAGTCCTCGCATACCCGTCTCACATCCTGGCAGCACTGTCATCTG